GCTTGATGCAGGCTAACCTATTCCTTATGTATGTGGCCTCCTTGTCTCTCTCCCCTTTGCTTTGTTCTCTGGGGTGCCGTCTGTTTTTTTCTCTTTCCATCAGGATGCCCCATTTCTCTCCTGAAACTAGACTTCTGCAGTTCTCACTGGTTTCTTCTAAACCCTCAGAGCATAAGCATATTTCAGGACCATACAGTATTCTGTAAAAGAAAAGTTCTAGTGTGTAGGTTGGTACTCTAACTTTCCCTAATCCAAGCGCAGTTACATAATTTCTAACAGACCATAATAAGATTATAGTCTTCAGTATGTATTCCAGTTGTGTTGACTTCTGGAAGGCAAGGACCATGAGTCTTCTATTTCTACAACAGCCACCATAAAGCTAAGCACTTCCATTTTATTGCCATATCCTGTATGCCAGCTTGTTCTGAGTGTTGCATGTTAGTGGGACTGGTAGAGGAGTGGGGAGGAAGTGAAAAGAGAATGGTAAATTTCCATCTTGGATTCTGTATTCAAACACACAGTATGCAGTGATAACATTTTACATTTGAATTGTATTTTAAGGCTACCAAACTGACTGTTCATCTGAAAAATCAACCCCTTTGATTTGTGCATCTGTGTCTGCTAGGTGAGGCTCCATTAAATGACTTTCCTAAAATTACATATTTAATACAAGATACACTTGAGACTCAAACATTCATCTCTTGGATCCCAGTTTTATTTAGACTTGGGTAATTAGAACTACCTCTCTTTCTGACGCTTTTATGATTTATGCTTAAGTAGTGGAAATCAGTACACTTATTTATGGAAGCTTTTTATAGTTCTTGGCTATTGTCAGTTATAAATGGCGAGGAACAAGATTGGGCAGAGCTATAATTCTCTGTTCTCATAGTTCTGTACTCATTAGGAAAAGATTTATTTTAAATATTTGCCTTCCAAATATGTATCATCTATCCTGAATATGGTTAAAAAAACATATTCGCCTCTGTGGAGAAAATTGTAGGCAGAAAGTTGAAAGCTGCTAATAATAACTAAAGACTTACGTAAAGAGACCTTAAACCCGGTGTTGTGCTAAGCAAGCAGAGAGGGTTAAGTGATGTGATGAACCACATTAGTCATTTACCCGCTTAAAAGCCATGCTGAGACTCAAGAACCACCTCCGACAAGGGTTCAGAAAGCTTGTGCTTAAGATCAAGTTTCTCTGCCTATTGATTGTTGATATTTGGCAAGTTCTTAACTTGCCAGGGTGTTTTTTAAGATTGAAATTAGTTTCTTCATAATACACCACGTAAAATTCTCAAAAGGAGCAGCAGATTAATGTTGTAAAGCACTTAGAACCATACAGGAGTATTATTTTTAATTTATATTCTATAGCTGAATAAACAAGGTTATTTGTGGTACTTGGTTTGAATATCTCTGATCAATGCGATTTGTGCCTAAGAATGCAGCGTTTATTTGAAAGTTGAGAAAGTTTGTAAGATGCTACAGAAAAGCAGAAAAAATTAAAAATTAAAAAAGAGATGAGAGAGGATGGAGATAACTGTACTGATGTTGAGGGGTGAGAGGGTTAAGACTATTATTTATGTTTTTTTTTTTTTTTTTTTAGGAACCTTTATTAACTTAATGTATAGCACCTGCTATGTTCCTAGTACTGGAATTAAAGACATGGTCACTGCCCTAGGGTGGCTGATTGCCTGTTGACTATTACATTAAATTACATTAGCTGTGTGGTAGAGAGTAGTGCAGTATTGTAGGAACACATACTTGAAATGATTCTTGGGAAGTGACGCTATATCTGAGACTTAATTGGAGTTCTGGAGAGGAGGTAAATTGAGACGGAAAAGTATACAAAACTGGAAAAGCTTTCTGAAAGGAAGTGACACCTTAAGGGAATTGACAGACGGAACAGATTGGAAAGGGAAAACAACCATCAGAGTAGCTAGCATTATAAAGGCACAGTGGTGACTCTAAGGAAGTGTATATAGTGCTGAGAAAAGGTGAGGCTGGAGATAGAACTGAAGGTGTGGTAGATAAAGCACCAGGTTATGGGAAGCTTGGTTTGGGACTTTACTCTGAATGCCTTGGGGAGCACTGATGGTGTTAAAAACCTGTCACAATTACATTTGCATTTGAGAGGAATCACATTTGGAAAGCAAACCTCTGGGATAGCAAGGAGGTTATTGCAGTAATATGGGGAAAGTCATGATACCTAACACTTAGAAATTAGAATCGAGGCAGAGGGCATTTTCATGAGATAGGCAAGAAAGAATCAGATGACTGATTAGATTTGGGAGGAGTAAGGGAGAAGATAATTTAGTTAAGGAATTCTCATCACTTTCAAAACTGATCTAAGCACTTCTACAAACATTTTCTCATTGTTGTGGCACTCTTTGGATTTTTATGTTGTCACTGTTATACAGATAAAGAAGCTGAGGTTTGGAAAGCTTGATTGTAATGCTCATAGTCACAGATCCAATGAATGATGTTATTCAAGCCACCAATCTGTCTGAATTCTCTATAGACCACTCTTTTAACTACTATACTATATTGTCTTGGCTAACAGTTTCCATATTCTAGCTTGGTCAGTCAGGTGATTGCTGGTGTGCTGGATTACAGACAGGTGAAGGGAGGATCTGGGGGAGCAATGTTAGGAAAGATGCTGAGTTCTGTAGTAAACATTTCATTTTGAGCTGCCTTTGAGACATCCTGGTTGAGATGACTAAATGGAAGCTGGATCTGAAATTCTGAGTCACAGAAGAACAGATGAATACAGTGGAATGGGAATCATTCTCAGTAGGCTGAGTAGGACTACTCAGCAAGTGGGCTGGATGGTCTTGCAGTAGTGGTTGAAGGCTTGGGAGTGGACATGAACATCCAATGAATGAGTTTGTATAGCAAGTAAGGCAAAGTGTCTTTTAGTCCCTTCAGTCAGAATATTATGTTCCATAACCTCTCCTTTCACCTCAACCCCACCCTAACCAAAAAATTAGGTGGTTTTCCTATATTTAGTTGTAGAATAAGATAAACTATAAGTGATACCTGCATAGTCCCTTTTCATTCTGTTTAAGTTACATAGCAAAACTAGCTTGTTTAGTATTGACCATTTACAAGTAAAGTGAAATTTGGAAAAAGAAGAAAACAAAACCCACAAAGCTTTTTTAGTAATTTTTTAAGATTGTAGGTGTTCACCAACCCTGACAATATTTAGAGACACCAGCATGATGTTGCCATGTTAGCACAGGCCTCAGCCTGTAGTAGTATCCATTGTGTATAAAAGAACATGTTTTATAACAGAATGGATGGTATATCTATTAATAGAAGGTAACTGGGGAGTTTATTGCATTTGCTGCCTTTTCTCTTGGGGTTTAGAGAGTGTGGTGGTTTCTATGTGAATGTCCCTGGACCATAACCAGAGCGGAACAGGGAATCTATTTGGGTTCTCTTGATAGTGGCATAACATGAGGTAGAATATGGTGGCTGTTTATAGTCTGTTCCTTTTGTGAAAAGAGCTTTGCAGATTAGAGGCTTCTGCTACTTCTCCAGACCATGGGCTGGAGAGGTTTATTTTGCTTATTCTATTTTTCCCCTTCAAATCTCTTTAAACAGCATTCTCTGGCTAGTCACCTAGCCTAGAGAGACTAGAGCCTGTATACAGAAAAGAATGAACAAGGTTTATATTGTCTTCCTTACTTTATCATGTGGAGCTGCTTATCTCTTCTACATGGAAGACACTGTCTTAAACTGAGATACTCTGACATGTCATTGTCTTTGGGGAAATAATAATTGTGATGGTCATTTTAGGCAACTTTAAGGGATTTGAATTCAGTTGACTTGACCTATTGACTTAAAATACTTGAGCTATTTTAAGGCTTTGAAACGGAATTTCTCCAAGTCAAGGCTTTGACCGAAATTTCACTGACTGATTTTTATAAGATCACTTACTGGTCTCAAGCATTTTATGTATTGATAACACTTAATAAATTTATGTGTACATTATGGGCAACTTTTGGAACCCTTGCCCTCTGGAATTTGGGGATGAAATTCTTCAGGTTCATTAACTTAATAAATATTTACTGAACAATTTTACCCCCCAAGTGGTAGTCTAGATGATAGTGGATAATAGTGAACAAGCCAGAGAAGGTGCCTATTCTCCTTGTTACTAACTTTCTTTAGACTATTAAGATACCAAATGAGACTATTTCAGATAAGTTAGTACTTGTGAAAAATCTCTAACAAGCTCTTCTGGATGTGTCAATGTATCTATTCTCTTCCTTGCTGCATATCCTGATCACATCCATCCTCATTTGATGCCTGACTCAGTTGGTAGCTTCTGTATGATATTATCTTCCCCTCCCTGAAATATCCCAACTTAACTCTGTCCGCAACTTTCTTATGTCACTTTAAGTTTGTTTTTATTTTATAGTCACCAGTATACAGGTCAAGTCTCAAATATTCAGTAAGTCATTGAGAGCAGGATTAATATCCCAGTCTTCTTAGTTTTGGGTCTAACACATACAGGCAGCAGGCTGTTGTAGGAAGACAAAGAACTTAGAAACAGGAAACTTGAATTTGAGTGCTGGCTTCCCTCGTGAATAACTTAAACTGTAGACAAGTCTTATAACTTTACTGAAATTGGTCCTTAACTTTCAGAGTATAGTAATTATCCTTCTTTTCTTGAATAGGTGTTGGGGTGCTCAAACTGAAAACAGCATTTCACTGTTTCTCTAAGTTCTTAAATATTTGGTGGTATCATAGTAAATATTCAGTAAGTATTTGAATCTATAGGCATTGGCCTTCTGTGAACACCTTTTTCTGGGAAATTCTTTTGTTCACTAAGGCCCTTATGATTTTGCAAATGTAATAAACTATTTCCAACTTATTTTATTACTAAATGATTCTCTTGCTGAAGATTGGCATCCCCTTCACCCAGAGTAGTCTGTTTTTTTCTTCTTAGGTGCTGTGTAATATTAAAACAAAAAATGTCGTTTGATCTGTTTCAGCAGGTAGTACATTATGGCTGACATGCAAAATCTGGTAGAAAGATTGGAGAGGGCAGTGGGCCGCCTGGAGGCAGTATCCCATGCTTCTGATGTGCACTGTGGGTATGGAGACAGTGCTCCAAAAGGTAAGCAATGTGTATAGCCCAGCAAAGTACTTTGAATGAAAACTCAATGTCTTGGCTTGAATTTTTTTAATCATAGTGTACTATCTCTTTTGGAGCTAACTTCCCAAAATGCTTAATCCAGAACATTTATCTCCTGTAATTCTTACTGCTGTGAACAAATAAGGAGGGAAGTGCAGGGAGGCCTGTGGTTAAGTTATTTTAACACAAGAACTTCCTGTTTGCGTGCTATTTCCTGTTCTGCAAAATGACTCGAATGAGACAACCTGACAAGTGATACTAAAATTTCCTTTCTCCAAATGATTGGCAAATTAGCCATTTTGCACATGCACCAATTTAAATCATAGAACTTTTGAGCTAAGAGAAACATTGAGGGGATCATTTTGGCTTGTTTTTTTTATTTGTTTTATAGATAAATAAAAGGGACTTAGTTGTGGTGATATAGCCAGTTTTAGTGGTCATATTGGAACTAGAATCCAGGTTTTCTGTGTTTTACTACTCTATTTACTGTATTAGTTTGCCTCTCCACTTTTGTATTAAAGGGCATTTTAAAGAACCATCTTTCTCATGCATGACGGATTCTTTGTCGTGTGTCTGTTCAGCAGGAGCAGTTCCGTATGTGCAAGCATTTGACTCACTGCTTGCTGGTCCTGTGGCAGAGTATCTGAAGATCAGTAAAGAGATTGGGGGAGATGTGCAAAAACATGTAAGGATGTTTTGCCCTTTTTTCCACCATTTAAGGACTGATGCTTTCTTCAAATCCTACTTCTCCTTTATCCTTGATTTAAGAATTTCTCTTCTACTTGCACTGAGGAGCTCAGTTCAAATACTGGACTAGTTCCTGATTTTTTTCAAGCCCTCTGCTTTTATCACATATTCTTTGTGGGTTTCTTTCCTATAGATAGCTTGCGTGGTGCATAAACTATAGCTCAGTTCATCTTTGTAGTGAACATGGCACCAACCTGATCCCAACATGTTATATAAGCAAGCAAGTTTAGGGTGGCTTATTCAAAGGAGTCATTGTCATGACTGAGAATTTCTAAAACGGTTTCCTACTTATTACTTATGCTAATACGAGTTATTTTCTCACTTAGCCCACACCAGGAATATGAAGCAGGCAGTGACATGCGCCTCTCCACCCCCAGCCCTCTATGTGTGCCATCCACATTTGGTACCACCATTCCACACCCACATATATGTTCTGTCTCTAGGACTCATCATCTTCCTGCTTGTCTATTGACAAATCCTTTGTAAACAATAACCTTATATTGACTCTTCCTTACCCTTCAGCAAGACTGGATGTTTGATCTTTAGAATATCTGTTTTGAACCTGTTATATGCCATCTGTTGGTATTAGCTCCAAACATTAGGACTGGAACTTAGTTAAGGCTGTGGGTGCTTGCATTTTCACTTTATACATCCTATAGTATATGAAAAGGATTTTAAAATGTATCACTTTTACACGTTTTAAATGAAAATACAAAAAAAGTAGCGTCTTATTTAAATGTTTATATTTTGGTAGTGCTTATAGCCACTTGTTTCTTAAGCTTTTTCTGTCCATGACCCTCAGTAAGAAATACACATTAAATTGGAATGTATTTCATAAGAGAGCTTAATATTGTTTGTACTGCATTTCTACCCTGCCTCCCACCCCCTGCCTTTTTTAATTTAGAAATAAATCATTTGACTGAACTCAGTATTTGATTTGTTATATTTTGCTTCAGTTAGTAAAATGTTGATTACAGCTCACTATACAGATTTAACTAGTTAATGGTAAGTAGGTCATGATCCAACATTTGAGAAATGTAACATTTAGCTTAAAAGCATAAACAACAATTTATTTCTTTATTAGATTTTTAGACAAAAATTAGGTCTTTGCTGTTACTCCTACCTCGGATTTTTGAGAAAAGAATTTTGTGTGTGTAGGAAGGGCTTTTCAGTGCACTTACTAAATATATAGTTGCTAATTTGATTTCATTTGAAGCTAATCCTAATTATTTTCATTTCTAATGCTGGATACATATTCCTGATTGTTTCCAAGAGGAACAGGAATATATGTAATTTTGCTCTCAGTCCCATATTCTGGAATATCTGAGGAAGGCAACATTAAATTCCTGGTTTGCTACTGAAATACATGGAAATGGAGGTTTCAGGTTATTCTTATCAGGACCTCTCCAGTTGTAATGTGTCATCGATACCTGACTCTTTTCCTTTCCAACAGGCAGAGATGGTCCACACAGGTCTGAAGTTGGAGCGAGCTCTCTTGGTTACAGCCTCTCAGTGTCAGCAGCCAGCAGGTGTAAGTTCACTACTAGTTGGTTTCCCATTTGGTTTGATGCCCAGGAGAAGCTGAGAGATTTTCTGTTAAGCTAGTCCAAAATGTGCAATGCTAATAACAGGCTTACATATGTATACTTCCAAGTCCCAGAGGTAGAGTTAGAATTAAAGCACCAATGTGGGAATATCCCATTGAGCATTTATTAGACTCTACTAACTTTTTCCCTGTTGTTTTACTTAAGACTGTAGTTACCCCTGGGACTTTGGCAATTCTCTCAACACATAGTCATTTTTTAGCCTCTTAGCTAAGCCCAAATTTATCATATTGTTCCCTCAACCCTTTGGGTCAAGTCTCCTTGCTAAAACCCTATATTCAAACCTTTAGTGCCGGCCCTCCCTGGTGGCGCAGTGGGTTAAAGCACAGAACTGAGAATCGGAAGCTACTTCCACATGAGTTCGATCCCCACCTGCCCGGGAGGTGACCACATGGTGCAGCAGACCTCTCCTGACCCTCCCGCTGCTCCCCTCAGCAGTGTACTTCATCCATCTGCTTGTTCTGCTCCCTACTCTGTCTGTGGTGAATCCTCTCACTGCCCCTGCGCCTCTGGCCTGTACCCCAGTTCTGTATGCACAAATAAATCTTTTAAAAAAATGCAAGTTAATGTTAAATATATTAGACTAATTCTTAATCTGTCTTGAATGCATTTGCCAAACTTTTTCTACAAACTTTTTCTAGTACTTTAGACTAAGGTGTGGCATACTATAGCCTGCTATTTGTCAATGAAGTTTTTGGGCACACAGCCATTCCCATTCTTTTAAGTATTATTTATTGTTGCTTTATACTGCACTACAGTGGCAAAGTTGAGAAATTGCAATAGAAAATATATGGCCTGCAAAGTCTGAAATGTTTACTATCAGGCTCTTTGCAGAAAGTTTGCCAGCTGCTGCTTTAGACTGGGTTTGTGCTAAGATCTGAGAATTAAGATGTTCAGGAAACTGAGCTTTGGAGGAAGAATAAAAACACAAGATTCATCTATTTTGCTGAACTGTTCAAATGCCCGGCCCTTAAATGTATTTGATTCGGCAGATCCATACATAATGGCTGCTATGTGTTGAAGGCTAACAGCTTTCTTAAAAATATAAATTATAAAAGAGTACTAAGACAAAACCCTTGTTTTCAAAGAGTTAGTGAGAAAGAAAAACATTCACATGGATCCACTAATAATTTCTGCTGGTGCGTGACAAGCTGCTAAACTTGGTTATGCTCACAAATGCAATAGGAAGCCAGTTATAGCTCGAGTTGGAGGCCTGTTCCTCATTAGACATGAGGAACCTTTGGGTAGATGTGGAGAAAAAGAGGTCATTGTGAGTAAAGGCCACTAGTAAACTAATTTATCCTAGTAGTGGGCCAGAAAAGAGAATGAAATGGGAGAACTCTGGTGGAGCTGGAGTAGGGGTTCTGATCATGAGGAACCATAAAATCCAGCCTGAGATATTGGAACAAGAGAGAGAGAGAGAGAGAGAGAGAGAGATTATAGACAATAGCACTAGATTGACCATTTGAGGGGGGATACAGAGTTTATTTGGGTGATCAGAATTTTGGCTCATAAGAATTCTTGGGATCAGAGTTGACCAGTGTGTGAACTTTCATAGACTCTAACCTGATTGTTTCCCCACATTTTCCCCTAGAATAAGCTTTCTGACTTGTTGGCACCCATCTCAGAGCAGATCCAAGAAGTGTTAACCTTTCGAGAGAAGAACCGAGGTAGCAAGTTGTTCAATCACCTGTCAGCTGTCAGTGAAAGTATCCAGGCCCTGGGTTGGGTGGCTATGGTAAGCAGCACATCTTCTGTGGGAGGGACGGGATATTATGAAAGGGTAAGGAAACATGGCTAGAGAGACTGAATCACTGACAACCTCTCTTTCTCTAGGCTCCCAAGCCTGGTCCTTATGTGAAAGAATTGAATGATGCTGCCATGTTTTATACAAACCGAGTCCTCAAGGAGTACAAAGATGTGTAAGTTCATTCTTGTCTCAAGGGGTAGAGGGCAAACCCAGCTGGTTACTAGGTGGAATAGTGCTTTAGGGTAAAGACTGCCCCTGACTGTAGTGTCTGTTCTCCTATCTCATGGCTGCTCTCTGGAAAGTTTGAAAGGTACTGGCTCATAGAAGCAGCACTTGCAAGGAGGGAGTTCTGCTGTTACCACTTCTGCTTTTTCTCCAGAGCTTGTAGAGGCCCTTTTAGTATTCTAATCCTTACCCTTTCATGTTTAGGAGGTTTTACTGAGCAGTGTGGAAGAATGCTCTTTCATTTGCCTATTCAGATTAGAACTTCGTTCCATTGTTGAGTTTCAGGAGCAAAAGGTCTAGTATGACTTACTAGGAAATTGCCTTACTCGGGTCAGGTAGTGAGAGGAAAACTACCTGGCCAACACAGGTATTAAGTAAGGGGAGTCATGTGTGTCTTGTTCTGTACATTCACCAGTTCTGACTTCTCATTGCTGGTTTTGAGCTGGAGTAACTCTAAGCCAGCTATTGCTTAGTTGCTTAACTTCTCAGGCCCTTCCCTTTTTGCTACATGCAACACTTGTTGAGTAACTTCTTTGAATGCACAAGCCTTACATGTAAAACAGTTCCTTCCAGCAAACTGGAATTAAGCATCACAATGTTTGATTATAATTGAGAAAAAAACAACTAAAATATAGGTAGAGACTTGAACCATACTGTACTGCTACTTCTATAATTTAATGTTCATTATTTCCACTTAAAGGGAAGCTTATAATTTTTATTTTTGAGGCAGTTGGACATATAAGGTACTGTGCTATCAGGTAGTTGAATTCCTTGAGAGCTCTTTTATGGCTTCGTGCACAGAGTATTTCCCAAGGTCTACTTTGGAAAAATGGTTTTGCTACTTAAAAACTAAGGAATACTGTTATTGAAGATAGAGATATAATCTTAAGTCCCTAATAGACCTAATAGACTTTGGTCTAATTAAGGTAGTAGGTTTTTTAAAAAGAAGAAAAGCTTAGTGATGATAGAAAAGCTGCCACTGAGCAGAGCTTAAGAAACACAAGAGACAGGAAACTGAGAGATTCTGAATCACTATAATAATGTACCCTTACTGCCTGTCTTTAATTCTCCCAGAGATAAGAAGCATGTGGACTGGGTCAAAGCCTACTTGAGTATATGGACAGAGCTGCAGGCTTACATTAAGGAGTTCCATACCACCGGACTGGCCTGGAGCAAAACGGTGAGTGAGTTCTGCCTTCCTTTATCCCTCCAGGACAGGGGCCACAAGTTTCATAGACTTCACCACTACCAGCGTCTGAGAAGAATGCTATTCTTTTCAGTGGGGAGTACACAGAAAAAGGGGCAAAAAAGAAACAAAAACAAGTATCAGAAAAGGAAGATTCAATTGCATTCATTTTTGTAAACATGGATCAGGGTCAGTGACTGGTGCTAGAAGGGAGTCTGATGACTAAGTTACACTATCTCAGCCATTAAGAAGCTTATAAGTATAGAAAAATCCCAATACAAATTAAGCTAATTGCTATAGTAAAGACACAAATTATAGAGTATAAGGAAGAGAAAAACAATATTATTTTGAAGAGGTACACTGTGGCCTGAGTCTTCTTTCAAGAAAGTGAGAAGTGGAGAAATGGTAATACCAGCAGACAGCATAGGTTAAGAGCTGGTCATGTCTTCCTGCAGTAAGTAGTGGTGAATTTTTAGAATAAAGAGTAGAAAAGAATGTAGGCTAAGACTGTTGCTTCGTAGATATTTGAGAAAGAGTGTGATAATGCACCTTTGTCTTTAAAAGAGTTGCAAGTTATGGTTACATATAAGCAGAGTTCATGCTCACTGGGGAAATACTCATGCTACTAGGGGCCAAAAGGAGAGAGTTTATGGGAGATAAAACCAATACATTTAATAACATTGAAAGAGTTGGTAGGTTCAAAGATTGACCGCTCAAGCTTGGTCAGGTCTTTCACTGAAATATAGTGGGATGTTTACACAGGAAGGAAAGCCAGTGGGAGGTGATAAAATCAGTCTTGAATTTGTTGAGTTTGAGGTACTGGTGAGAAACACTTACTAGTAGATTCTTAGAACTTCAGGTTTTGAGCTGAAATTCAGTAGAAGCCAAAGAGAAAATGTGAAGATTGGGACATGGAGTTCAGGTGGATCCTTGGGAAAGGGTAAGAAGGACGAAGGCCAAAGCTAGGTGTGTGTAGGGAACACTCATCACTTACAGGAGCTGCAGTGGGTCCCCATGTGCCCTGCACATATGTAGGACAGTATTGGGAATGGTACAGAAGGGAAAAGAGAAGATGACTGTTACCTGCACTTATTGTTCCAGGGGCCTGTAGCAAAAGAATTGAGTGGCTTGCCATCTGGACCCTCTGCTGGATCGGGCCCTCCTCCCCCTCCACCAGGCCTACCTCCCCCCACAATTCCCACCAGTTCAGGCTCAGATGACTCTGCTTCACGCTCAGCACTGTTTGCGCAGATTAATCAGGGGGAGAGCATCACACATGGTACGTGAATACTGTGGCAAAAAGAGTTGGAACAGTAAGTTGTTTGGGCCAGACGGTACCAACTAGAGATGTAACAGTCTGTGAAACAGAACCTTGGCTTGTTTATGAGAGAATTCACTTGGGATGTCATGTTCCCTCACGTTGCCCAGAGACAGTAAAGCTGGCTTAAATGGAAATTTAAAATGTGTGGTTATAGCTAGAGGGAAGATTTCTACTCCATAGGAAAGTGATTTGATATCAAGTGGCTTATAGAGTGCGAAGGCATGGTACCACGTTACCACATGGTATCTTTGGGAAGTCATTGTGTTGGGGGTTCATTTCAGAGGATGCATACTAGTTATATGGAAAGTTTCCATAAGAATTACCTAATGGGCCCTCCCTGGTGGCACAGCGGGTTAAAGCACAGCACTGAGAAGCTAAAGACACTTCTGCATGAGTTCGATTCCCGCCTGCCCCGGAGGTGACCGCATGGCACGGCAGACCTCTCCTGACCCGCCCACTGCTGCCCTCAGCAGTGTCTACCAGTAGATCCGCCTGTTCTGTTCCCCACTCTGTCTCTGGTGAATCCTCTTACCCCCCACACCTCTAGCCTGTACTCCAGTTCTTGTATGCACAAACAAATCTTTCCAAAAAATTTACCTAAAAGAAAGCACAAGTTTCATAGTGTTATTTATATTAGCTAAAATGGTGTAACGATCAAAATATGCCAAAGGAGAAATGGCTAGCTATGTTGTATTCTCTTGATGGAATATTCTACAAATACATAATAAAATTTTTTTCTACTGTGTGAATCATGCAATTTTTGAATAAAAAAAAATCTAGTATCTAAAGCCACAGGGTATGGTGGACAAAATGAGACACTTAGCTTTAGTTAAAAAGATTGGGCCATGATCATAATCAAGCAGTGTGTCAAGCTGCTAAGAGAGAGGATGTCATTTCACCAAAAGAAAAAAAAAAAACTATATAAGTAGATAGAGAAGCTATATATTAACATAAGAACAGTTCATAATTTAATTTTATTAAGTGTTAATTGGTTAAATCAAATGTGTTAGCAATATAATGTTATAACCAAATAAACTATGAATAGAAAAAATACTAGAAGGGAAGTTTCAAACACTGACTGATTGGGAGGAGGCTAGCCACAGGTGAATGTTTTTTGTTTTGTTTTTTGTCTGACCATTTTCTCCTTACTATCACATAACTACTTCCTGTCACTTAAAAACTATATAAACATATTTTGCAAGTAATGTATTTGGTGTATGTCTTTCTAGATATTTTTCTATGCATTTATATCCATAGCCACTCTCCTACCACTCCCCCCAATTCCATTCTTTCAAATAGAACTATATAATTTAACCTTGGCAGAGAAGAGAAATTATAAAAGCACTTCTCCAAAACTGCTTGTAAGAAAACATCTCAAAGTCTCTGGTTTGGGACTTTTGGCTATTTTGTTAAGGATCAATTTAAATTCTATTGGCAGAAGTTGGTTATTGCCTCAGCCCAAAACTGTCATGTAAACACAGTTAACAAGACCACCGTTAACTCCCGCAGCCCTGAAACATGTGTCTGATGACATGAAGACCCACAAGAATCCTGCATTGAAGGCTCAGAGTGGCCCAGTGCGCAGTGGCCCTAAACCATACTCTGCACCTACACCAGGAGTCAGCCCCTCTCCCAAGCCAGTCACAAAGAAGGAGCCAGCTTTACTTGAACTGGAAGGCAAGAAATGGAGAGTGGTAAGTTTAAATGCCAGGACTGGGGGAACAAGCCGCAGGACAGAGGGCTTAAGCCGAGCACAGTCATCTGTGTGCAGGTTCTGGTATAGATGTAAGAACAAAAGTTTCAGGTACCTGTTTTGAGGGGTGGTATTGCTAGTGATGAGATTCCTAAAAGGGATGTCTCTTTAACAGGAAAATCAGGAGAATGTTTCTAACCTGGTGATTGATAACACTGAGCTGAAACAGGTGGCTTACATATACAAATGCGTCAACACAACATTGCAAATCAAGGGCAAAATCAACTCCATTACAGTAGGTGAGTTCTTATTGCTTTCCCAAGCAGGCTCTGTCCTAGAGCCTGAAAGACCTGGAAGCAATTTGCCTCCTCTAATGTTAAAGCTTCTTAAATACGTTAACTTTTCTTTGAAGCTATTGTGTTGACCTGCTCCTTTCTTCTCCTAGATAACTGTAAGAAACTTGGTCTGGTGTTTGATGACGTGGTGGGCATTGTGGAGATAATCAATAGTAGAGATGTCAAAGTTCAGGTAACTTAAGATCCTGGCTTCTCCTTTGGACCCTGGGGAATTAATTGAAAAAGGCACTGCCGACCCACAGATGTTGCATGGTGGGAATCTGATTCTACAAAGTCTGTAAGCTGAGCTGCTTGAATGTGGCAGTGGAGGAGCTGGCTCTTAGAATGAGCTCTTTCCCGCACCCATCACCCAGCCCAATCTGCCCTTAGTATCCAATATCTGTTGAGCACCTGTGAGCTTTTCGTGTAGCTGCTGAACACGTGTTAACAGTGAAAGCTGTTCCCGCAGCTGTTGTTCTCCCCAGCTTCTGGAATTCAAGTGTGTTTGGTCTTCTCTGCAGGTAATGGGTAAAGTGCCAACCATTTCCATCAACAAAACAGATGGCTGCCACACTTACCTGAGCAAGAATTCCCTGGACTGTGAGATAGTCAGTGCCAAATCTTCTGAGATGAATGTCCTCATTCCTACAGAAGGCGGTGACTTTGTGAGTTTCTTTATCTTTTTAGTATGATTTAAAACCAGAGGAACTGAAGACCTCTTACATTGGAGAAGCTGATGACATTCTGCACTGAGTAGGTCAGACTCAACAATGTGCACAGCATCAGATAGTCTCCCAAAGCAGAGCTCGATGGGAGGGTTGATTCTCTTACTTGGTTGAGCACATGCTCAGGGTAGTAAAAAGGAATGTGACGTGGTACGCGTATCTGCGCCTCTCGGTTTGACGGTCTGTCCAAGATCACTGAGCAGGAGAAACCTTGACACCGACACGTCCTGCTTTGTTCTCCTTCCTACACTGCAGTGCTCTTTTGTCGTGACAGTGGCGGTGGTAGCATAAGTTATGGTATTGCCATTTACGTAGCTGGCTTTTTCAGGTAGCTTCAGTTTATCACTAACGAAGCCTACCTGTCTCAGTTTAGTGGAAACAAGAACTGGGAGTAAAGTTGAAGATTTAACCGCAGCTTACTTTTTAGCTCAGATTTAAATCTGTTGTTTCTTTTTTTGCAGAATGAGTTCCCAGTCCCTGAGCAGTTCAAGACCCTATGGAATGGGCAGAAGTTGGTCACCACAGTGACAGAAATTGCTGGATAAGCAAAGTGCCACTGGGTTCTTTGCCCTCTCCCTTCTCACCATGGGATAAATATGTATCAAGACGGTTCTTTTTTAGATTTCCTCTACCTTTCTGCTCTTAAACTGCTTCTCTGCTTTGAGAAGCACAGCTACCTGCCTTCACTGAAATATACCTCAGGCTGAGATTGGGGTGGGATAGCAGGTCAGTTGGTCTTCTGCAGGAAGGTGCAGCTTTTCCATATCTGCTCAACCACACCACCAGTCCATTCATAAGGAACTGCAGACCAGGACTGGTGTTTTAGCTTTCAGTTTTTGGGAGTTATTTGACCGACAGACAGTCTTTTGGAAGAATTAAGTAGGCCCCAGGAATTAACAGAGCAGAATATTCACACAAATTAAACCTTTCCTAACAGTCAGCATGAAGGTAGCAGAGGCTGATGTGATTCCAGTTGTTCTAATCAAACTAATATTTCGCTGTTGACAAGTGAGGCAGGGGTGATATTGGACCAGAGGCTGAAGCTTCACTCTCTAGCATTCCAAGTAAAATTGTTTCCTATAATCCTTTATTCTGCATTCCATCCTAGGTCTGCCTGAAACTGAGGGAGCAGGTTCTCCTACCCCAGCAGTTGTGGCAGTGCCCCGCACCCAGGCCAGTTAAAGGAGTCTTTGACCCTCTCTGGCATCCCTGCCCAGCATCTTCCTGCAGAGATGACTTAAAAACAAAAGCAAACACACACACACACACAAAGGAAAAACAAGGCATCATTCCAAGTAATCTGGCATTCCTCCTTCCTTCCGTGCTAGCTGCCTGTCGTCCATCGTCACTGCCTTCTCTGCCTGTCATGCTCAATAGCTTCTGGCTTCTGTCTGGGCACCTGAACAGAGAACTGAAACCTCCACTCCTGGTTTTAGGTCTTATGGAAGAATCTTGCACAGCATTGCTAATGTAAATTTCAGTCTTTCCCTCTAGGACAAACACTTACCAAAATATGCAAGTTTTTTTGGTGGAAAGAGCAATTGTCCTGTGACTTCTACCCATTTCCTGTGGCCTGTGGAAATAAACCTTTATGTACTTAAAGTTATACAGAAAATAGAATAAAATTAATACCAAAGTTGTGTATTTACCTATGATTTTGCTATACAGAGAGGTGAAAATATTGAAAAATGACACCAAGGATAAGAAACTATTCTTTATTTAAGACAGCTTCAGTATTTTCACATCCCCTACTTCCAGCTTTTAGTTGAAAAATCAAGCTTGAGGGAGGGGAAGGATAATTGAAGGGTAAACACTGCAAAGTTAATAATGTGCTTCCATCAAAGCACAAGCAGGCATTTCCCCAAACCGACATTCTGCAAGCCAGAATATGCACATTCTGCACTTTCAGAAAGTGTTGATGGGTTTTCACAGGATGGGGGCTGAGGTGCCTCATGCTCACGTAGCATGGAAATAGCAGGTTAGGTTAGTTTTCTTTACTGAAACAGGAATTCTCAGAGTACTTAATATTCAAATGTGGTTGATCTCTACGATGAGAGCAGGTTACAATAGTACACAGGCTTTCTGAGCAAACAGTCCTTTTCTCCACTGACCACATTAGAAACAGTTTGGAGTATGCTGCTATGATTTTGGAGGGTGACGTTAGCCAGAGATCTCTTCACATTTTTCCTTCCCATTAATCTCCTATTCCCAGCAACAGAAGAACTCTAGAAACCAGACCACCAGTCATTTAAGAAAGGCCAGGTTAATCAAGGATGGAAGGGAATGAATCAGCTGCCTCATTTTTCGTTTCCACTTGTACAATTTCTCTCATCTCACGCTCTCCACCTCTACCCCCAAGTTAGTCAGGATGCACATCCCCCCCACCCCCAAGCAATCCAGTTCAGTACTAACCACCCTTTATGACAAAAACTAATTCACAACTTAGATAAAAAAATTTGATTTACATTTACAATATAAGCGCTATGCCTCGGAGGCAAGATGGGCTAGCAGGCTAAGTATAATTGCTAAGACAACACAGAAGGCAACTTACTCAAAAGAGGGCAGCTTCAAGGAATTGCGCAAAAATGTGATCCAAGATACTTTGCAAGCACTAGTTAAATCACCACTGGCAAAACAGCATTTACATAAGTTGCATCAGGCCTGGGTTCTGGCCTCTTGGCTTGAAGCATAGCTATAGGCTTTCCTCAGGCTAGAATCCATTCATTTTCCTCAGGACTTGGGCACAGTTCTGGCATTGATAGGGAGCAGACTCCATTACCTATTACATCTTGACCACACCAAAAGGTTGTAAACAATCTCCATGATTATTAGCTAATTAAACTTGCAGCCAACCATATGCTGATAGGATGAGGCAAGTGATAAGATTAGCATCTTAGATCTTTCCACATATGAGATGATAACTAGAGAGGATTAGTTGCAAGCAGGATCTAAATTCAGGCTTAGGTATGAAGGAAACTCTCCAACTGGTTTGGAAGCACTTAGTTCACAGCTCTGATGCAAACTAGCAGGGCTTCACTGAAGGAAAGGTATGATATGGGCATAAAACCAGTCTTCAGACAGTTGAAGATGGTCCCCTTCTACAGCCAGGAACACTAGCTGTCCTGCCTTGTCCATTTCCTTCAGTCCCAGGCGGTCCTGCAGAGAGAGAGAAGCCATAATTGAGAGGCTTAAAAGTTCTAGCATAAAATACTAAAGAAACAATGTTAAGATAAAATCCCAAAATACAACCCTTTCCAAGTACTAAAAATTAGGTATCATTGAAAATACCAAAAAATCTTCCAGTTTTTCTCCCAGGCATTAAAAACGTATGTGCAATTAAGACTAGTATTTTATGTCCTGCTTCTAAAGTTCCCCAAACTTCTGGAGGACCACCTATGGCTGGCCGGCAAGCAATGGACAAAAAGGCCTCAAAAGGTCTGTCAGGTTGGGCTGAGCCAAACAAACACAGGAAAACATTAGCTAAATAAGACACAGCCAAGCCTTAGGTAACTAACCTCAGACATTTTTATCTCCTGCAACTGAAAATGTCACCCACCAATAAGGTACTGCCCAGGAGTTGGGCATATGTGCAGTTTCAACCGTGCCAGAATTTTGCTTCTGCATAGCCAACTTTGAATTTCATTATAAGGAAGTTCTGTCATTTAAACATACCCTGAATTCCCTTTGTTTTTACCTTGCCCAAGCTAGGGCACCACATATAAGATAAAAGCCAGGAGACACCTCTGAAATTACCTAGAGAAATTCTAGTAGAAGCAAGTGGTGTGGTTATAGTACCTATGTGTTACTGAGAGTCTACCTCTAAATGAAAGGCCCCAGAACTGGAGGTGATGAAATGCTGCAGTCTCCGCTTAAGAAACAGGACCTGTTGCTAAATGACTCCACAACCACTACTATTGATCTGCAGGAGGTGCTCCCCCTATAATGCCTAGTTTAAAACAGGACTTCCATATCAATGTGTTATTAAGTAACACTCCTCTCATAACATTTTCATTATACACAGGGCTTCTTGGATTTGTAGCAGACTGCACATCAGCACAGGAAGCCAATTCTAAGCCTTTTCATCAGAAGGAAAGAATTAAACATGATGCGTCTCTTGTATGTGCTTGAAAACCAGGAGATAATGGGTCCTTCAACCTTTAGGATGTGGGTCTCTGTAAGCCAGTTTCTACGCTAGTGCAATAGCCACTAGGCTCACAAGCCTTCCCATCTGGGTTAGATGCCTCCAGACCACCTGCTGCTTCAGGGCATCCAGTGTGTACCACCACGAGCACAGGACAGCTGCTCATCTCCCCAGTTACCTGTGTGTATAGAGGGGTCTCCTGTAAGGGAATGGTTTCCTTGGCTTGACCACTTCTGTAAAATCCAAACCACTGCAGGAGGGGAGGAAGAAATGCACTCAATTGGACATACAACACACAATGCCAAACTAAAACTGTCTAGCAGTTAAAAAAAACTACTAGCAAAGAACAAATCAAAGCTGTAGCAAGGAGGAGAAACAAGAGGATGTCTTGAATCCTCTCTGGGGATAAATTTTTCAGAGTTTTCAAATTCCCTAGAATTTCTTTTTTTTTTTTTAAGTTAATAATTTTGCTTTCGGTTTATTTCCCATCTTCATAAATATGTTACACTATTTACATTGTCCCAAAAGACAGATTAGAAAGTTTATGTTGCTGCTAGCTCTACTGTGTTCTTTTCTCACTTTAGTAATCAGTCTTGGAGTTTCTGTCTCTGAAACTCTGATGGATTTCAGATACTGAACAAAGGGTGAAAAATGTGATCAAGTAAACACAAAACAAGCAAATGCAACTTGTCTGAGTCTTTTCTTGGCTTCAGTGTGGGTTTTCAGTCAGATGAACTTTTCATTTTTTGTGATTCTCAGACAACATGCCCCTTTATAATCATTTTGGGTCAAATGATTTCTACATTTCCTAACAATAGTTGAATTACTGGCATTTCAGAAAGTAAGACAAAGATCTAGGTAAGAAAGAAAATTCAATTCCCTAGAATTTCTGCCTTCTATAATTTCTGAGCATCTTCCCTGTGAAAACCCTTGTGCTGAACCCTAGACATTGAAAAAAGAATACATGTGTGGCCCCTGTTTTCACAGAGGCAACTTACTGTTTATTTAGCACAGCAGACTTTTCTGTAAAAGCCAGATATAAAATATTTTAGAGTTTTAAGAGCCACATTTGCAACTACCCAATGCAGTGAAAAAGCACATGAGAGAAAAAATGCGCCAAGTTTGGGGCATTTCAAATACTACAATAAGGCTCTATGGGATGTGGGTAGTGAGAAGAGTGGCTGGAAAGATAGGCCAAGGGCCAATCTTGAATGCCAACTATAGGGATTTTTGGGACTATGGCTCTGAATCTTCCTTTGGGTCAGAGATCTCTGAAAGTCTAACAAAAATGATAGGCTCCTCGGAATGCAACTACATAATTTCACATATAATTTTGGATGATGGGGGCCTACGATCCCCAGTGTCCCTTTTATAGCCCTCACATAATGAACCCTTGTTATACACATGACTCATGGGACTGAAGGGTTTTAATACCATTAGACTGTGTGTGTAGGCTGGCATATTGTGGCCTACCTAAGCCACGACTCACCTCAGAATCCACAGGGTCCACAATGGAATCATTCAGGAATTTCACCATCACAAACTTCTTCAAGGCCATCAGATTTTTCTTGTAGGACTCATTGACACCCTGGAGGAAATGCCAGCAGCACCTCAGACAGGCTGTCACCAGGTTCAGGCAGGAGGATTACAGCCTTTCATGCTTTGTGCTTCTCCTCTATGGGCTGCTTGTCCTACCCAGAATATACCTTGTGCAACCTTTTCTTACCATCCTATCTGATCGACATGCCCACCAACTAGGGCACACAGGTGCTGCTTTACAGGCAGCCGTCACATGGGCCAAAGGCGTCTAGCCAGAGGAAGCTGGGACAGAATATATGAAACCAAGTCTGAGTGCTCTTTACATTATTCTGCTCCATTCCCTTCCCCCAACAACCCACTGAAAATGTTTTTAATCTGATAAACCCAATATAAATTGAGTCATGCTTGGTGTGGGACATACTCAGTCCCTTCTGCAGTATTTCCTATAAGGTTGAGCCAAAAAGGACCCTCCAGGAAGATTTCCCTCATAGGACATTGGCTGTGAATTTCCACTTAAGCCATCCAGCAACCTATCTGCTCCTTCAGCACTAGGAAAGGGAAAGGACCCAAGGGAAGAAAGTGAAATTTCAGCCTTCCAGAAGGAACTGCATCTCATGAGCATTGCCTCCAAAAAAACAACTTTTGTTCTCAGAGTTCTGCCTAGGATAGCCTGGATCAGCTGCCTCGACCTGTGTATATGTACCCTGCCCCAAACGAGACAGGACTGTGCAGCTACAGGAGACTGGAGGGGTGCTTACTCTCTCCTGGTTAATATCTGCCAAGAAGACGCTGTGATTGCGGTACATATCCTCATGTATGGGGTCGTGCCAGTATTCCGCTTGCACCAGGCTGCAGAAAGAAAAAGGAACAGAAGTGACCAAGCCAGTCAGTATGCCTGGAGCATGTCCTTGGGCATAAGCCTCATGGAGAGTCTAAAGATCTCAGGCTTTGCCCTCTGTAAGGAAGACAATGCTTCCACTTACAACACAACTCACCAACAAGACCGTTGAGCTGCTCTGCCTCCAGCATCAACATAGTGTCTGTGAAGAAAGTGTGGCTGAGGAGGAAGAGAGAGAGAAGCAGGTTCTGAAGTTTCCACCTTGACAACCCCACCCTGGAGCAGACAGGCTCACAGATGCTACCAGTTTGGAGCAGCCTTTTTAGGTGAGAATGTGAATGAGAAAGGGGGGGATTTTGGTGAAGTGGCTATAATCACTCAGTAGAGTAAGAGCAAAGCCACACTGTAACTTGGAAAGCGCTTTTTCCCAAAAGGCTTTAGAAATAGCTCACCAGAAACTATGTGAAGAAGAATCTGTGTGACCGGTTGCAAAGCACGTAGTTTGCTAACAGCAAAGAGAATTATGAATAGCATTATCTCAGATTAACCAGGATGAAGAAGGGGAGAAAGGATAGGATTAAAACACATTGATTTGGAAAATTTTGCAGGAGTTCTTGAACAAAACTTAAGACCAACAACAAAAAACACAACAAAACTAGAAAACCAAAGGTACTTGAAAGAATATACTACTTACAGCACAGGAAAGAAAATCTTTAGGATTTAGAAAAAGTCCTCGGATACTGGTTCCCCAGCACACAGAGCTGTGTGGCACTTACATGATAGGTCCTGTGGGACTTGCTGTCCCCTCCCACAACACCCCTCCCTCATCTTCCCTGGCTTGGGACTCATCCTGCAGGCTCAGCTCAAAAACACCTCCAGTGCTGTTGCCTCACCCAGCATCACTCTATATCCATTCTGCCATGCTTAGACTGGCATAGAGGTCTAACCTTTCAGCACAAAGCATTTCTCAAAAAAAAATTGACTGTTGTGCAATTTTTAAGGACAGAAGGTCGGTATCTGATGGTGATGATAGCATTATTTCAGCCTTTTGTTTATAATTTAACTTTCTCTCTAGTTTCTCTCCACTTCCCTTTTTCCTCCATCCCAGCCCTTCCTACCAGAATGCATACCTTTACCACAAATCCTTTGGGCAGCTGGCCTCCCCTCAGCTCCTGTGTCTACACAGCAGTAGCAGTGATTTCTATAAGTGCCCCTCCCAATCAGAGTGGAGGAACTGCCTAGAGTTCCACGCGGTGGAGCAGGCTGCCAATGAAGCCCAGTGGAACCAACTACAGGAGAGATAACGGCAGCTCCTTACACACAGGGTCACAGAAGACTGGGAAAGCAGTGTAGAATTATCATAGCTATTAAAGGTGAATGATGTAATATGCCAAAACCTAATGAATTATGTACTTTAAATTCATATTTAAATTCTCTCTCAATAAAGTTATTTTTTAAAACTCCACAAAACCTGTTGTACTAAAAAAGACACCATAAACAAAATTAAAAGATAAGCCACAGATGGGAAGAAGGTTAAGTGTAACATACCTAATGACAAAAGGCTTAAGCTTCAAAATATGTATGTGGTATATGTGCATGCATTTATAAATCAGAAAAGGTAAAGCACCCACCAGAACAAGTAAAGGCTACGGATTGGTAATTCACAGGAAGGGAAAAGCTGCTCAATCTGATTCTCAAGGACATAGAAAGAAGGAGAAGCCATTCCAAACACATCTGACAGGCAGAAGATGAACAGACACAGGATCAAAAATTAGGGAGAACAGAGAAAACAGGAACTCTCAAACTCTAAAGTGGGAACAGACATCGCTACAAGCTTGGCCATATCATGCAAAAAAATTTTTTAAGATTGATTTATTTATGCATACAGAACTGAGATATAGGCCAGAGGTACAGAGGTGAGAGGATTCACCAGAGACATAGTGGGGAGCAGAACAGGTAGGCTGACGAAGTCCACTGCTCAGGGGAGCAGCGAGTGAGTGAGACATGCTGCACCATATGGGTTACCTCCTCAAATGCTGCGCTTTAACCCCTTGAGCCACCAGGGAGGGCCCTCAAGCAAAATTTAAAATGCACATACCAATAATCAAATATGGTAATACCAGCAGCTAACATGCATTCAGTGTCTATGTTATTAACTCATTATATCCCATAAAGTATAATTATTGCCCTATTTCAAAGATGGTGAAACTAAGGCAGAGACGCTAAGTGTCTTTCCCTAAATCACCCAAATCATAACTACACGTGAATTCCACCCCTCTGACCAGGACATTTTTTCTTTTTGCACGTCAGAAGATGTCTTCAGTTCCTACTCACGTGTGAGTAGGTTCTGGGCAGATTCTAGCTTGGAAATCAACCTCCCTCAGAACACAAAGGAACTGAGCAGGCCTGCAAGGTGGTAGGGGTCTGGCACTGGGACTCTGACCCTGTGGGGCCTCACTGGGATCTGCCCTTTACTCCTGGTGCCCTGAGATGCCACAGGAATATGCCTGGATGTGGGTCTCTTTCCACTCCTTGACCTGGCTACTTGCCCTTTCAACCTAGAAACTCATGTCCTAGAGTCCTGAGCTTTGTATGGTCTCTTTAATGATTCTTACCTGCCCTTTCGTCTGTTGTCTTTTTTTGAAATGCATACTAGTCAGATACTGGACTTGCAAAACTGCTTCTCTGCTTAGGAATTTTATGTTTCCCTCCCCTCCCCCACACTTACCCCCCTTTCTTCCTCTTTGGGGTTTTGTTCTAATTTCTGGATGTCCTCAACTTTATATGTCATACTTCTTAATAAACTTTTTATTTTGATTATCTCACTTTTAATTATCTCACTTTTAATTCCAGGAGCTCTCTCTTACTCTCTGATTGTTCTAGTCATATTCTGTTCTATGACATGCAACAATTCTGTGGTAGTGGAGGAAATAGTTAATTACAGACTGGCTTTTTTGTATTTTAGGGTTTTAGTTGAAATTTTTTTCTCGGGTCCTTGAATTATCTGTTTCTTCTTCCACATTCCTTTTAACTTTTGCTTTGGTCTGTCTTTCATGTTGGATGCTTTCCTCAAATGTATGCTTTGGGATCCCTGGCTTACTGTCATACTTAGTGAGGCACCACAAAGCTTACCAGAAGCTCCTCACACAGAAGCAAGCTTATCTGCTGGAGCTTATCTACATGTAGTCAGAAATCCTGTCTTGTTGGATTCCAAAACACCCAGTAGATCTTTTCTCTGGGGCCAGTTTCTAGGGAGGTGTTTACCAAATTTCTAGCACCTAGCACCTAACAAGCCTGGCAGCTATCACTTTATAAATCAAGTGGGAGGGACATGGAGTGGGCAGGGATGGGTTTTTAATAGAGAGTCTTATCACCCCTCCCATGCTTGTTATTTTAAAGTCTGGTACTTCTCAAGTTAAAATGCTCCAAAGGAGGAAAAAAAAAGCTCCAAAGACTAAAAGGACTCTCTTGTTAGGAGGGGGGAAGAGCAAGGAGTAGGATGTGCTTTTAAGGGAATTGGGCATTTGATCATTCCTTGTGTGGAGTGATCCATATAAGGATGTCCAGCCCCGTGTGCTGACCTCTAAAGCACGGGCTTTAAAGAACTTTATACAACTAATCCTGAGCCTCTGTTGAGCTGGCAAATAAATCTTCTCCCTTCTCATCAGGAAAGAATTTCAGATTTTCCTGCTCTGCTACAATTACAATTATCATCTATCTTTTGTCTTTCAAAAATGACATCTTTTATTATCTTTTATCTCCTATTCTCTTTGCCTTTGTGGGTTTATCACTTTTTATTCACCTGCTATCAGTTCATTAAAGTTTAAGGAGAAAAAAACCACATCAGTCTACTACTTTTAATCAGTACTTAGGTATCATCATCCCTCCCCACTGCTTTTATTGTCATTAAAAATCTGATTGCCAGCTCTGCAGAGGGAAACTGCCTGAGGAGGCAGCTGCGGGCTGCTCGGCAGCCTTTTGTCCCAGCCCTGCTACAATCCTGGAGATAAACTGAGACAATTCAGCTAGGGAGGGGAAACCAAATCGTGGGAAAAGGCTGCAGCTCAGAACCAGAGACCGGAGGATACTCCACAGACCTGTTGCTGACCTTTGCCCCAGCAGCCCCGACAAAGCCCTGGATATAAACTGAGACAACACAGCTAGGTGAGTGGATCCCAAGCTGCTGTGGGGGCGGGGAGTGGGGTACCCAACCACAGGCCCAACCCTAGGATAATGCAACAATTTTAACAATCTTGCATGGGCACATTCAACCCTAGGAAGTGCCTCAAACGGGGAGACTTGCTCAGGGGTCTACCTGCTTACCACATCTACCCAAAAACACTGTGGTAAAACCCTGGAGTTAAAGAGATACAGCTGGGCTCTGTGAAAGGACCCCAGGCAGGGGGGAGGCACTGCTCTGGGTGGGACTATTTGGACTAAACAAAAAGAGCCCTGAAAGCTCAAAGGGAGGACTGGCAGCCTACTCAGCTGGGAGGATTTCAGCCCTCTGGCACTCCCCTGCACTCCTGTGGGGAGGGGGAGATCCCACCCCCACAACAGAGACCCGAAGACTTGGGGGTCAGAAAAGCTCAAAGTACTTAGAGTGTAAACAAAGCCAGCCACCAACTCAACCAAAGGCCCAGCTCCAGGGAGACCTACAACACTTCTAATTCATCATAACCACCACGGGC